GAGGCTGTGCCACTGAGCCACAGCTCCTCCCCCCAGAGACAACAGTATAAAGTGAACAATTCACATTGTGCCCAGCCACCATTTGGCATGGTGTCTGAACTGAGCGATGGGATCTAGAATCAACCAGCCTGGGCCTTCCCACGTTAGAGGAAACGCGGCCCTGGGACTAGACCGCGGGAAAACTCCAGATTCTAAACTTATATACGAACAACGAAACCGAGGGCAGCTACTGGCATACAAATGGCTTTGCTCAACTAGCCAAGCAGAATGGGATGGGCTGTTCTGGACTGGACCAATCTAGCTCGTGGGGTGGGAAAAAAAGAGAGAGATGCTTCCGAACTCACCCTGCCCAGCTTCTGTGCAGTCGACGGTGAAGTAGGTGGGCTCATGGGCCTTCAAGCCTGTCTTGGCCACACCGGGCCCGTATACCTTCACTTTGTTAGGATGGCTGCCGGCCCCGACGTTGACCTAGAGGGGGACAGGAAGGCGGCTGTCTCACGGGGCAAGGGGCATAACCCTCGAGAACAAGACAAAATGCACAATCCTAGTGTTTCAATTAAGCTCCTGCACTCGAGAGGAGAGAGAATTGCTGGCGTGTTTCCCTAGACTTAGGCCTCCAAGGTTTTATGGAGATGTGCAAGCTTTCCTGATGAAGAAGTTATGGCCTTCCAAGGAAAGGAAGGTGTGAGGGACTGCACTTTTAGTTGGCAAGGAAGTTTGGGTATTAGGCGAAGACTCCCATTCGGGCCAAAGAAAGGAGACAGATCTTCCAGCGAGAGGAGAACCCCACCTCCTTGCATCCCAACCTGGATAAGACCAAGCAGCTTCTTGAGGATCTTATTTGGGTTTAGCTTCATTTATCCCCCCTCCTTTCTCCCCAATGGGGACCCAAAGCAGCTTACATCGTTCCCTTCTCTGCCATTTTGTCCTCAGAACAGTCCTGTGAGGTAGGTTAAGAAGAGGAGATTGGATTTATATCCCGCCCTTCACTCAGAGTCTCAGAGCGGCTTACATCTCCTTCCCTTCCTCTCCCCACAACAGGCACCCCTGTGAGGTAGGTGAGGCTGCTGAGAGAGCGCTTTCAAGGACTGCCTTGGAGAGAACAGCTCTGAGAGAACTTGTGACTGACCCAAGGTCACACCGGCAGCTGCTTGTGGAGGAGTGGGGGAATCAAACCCATTTTTCCAGATCAGAGTCCGCTGCTCTTAACCACTACATCAAACTGGCGGAGAGCGTGTGATTGACCCAAGGCCACCCGTCAAGCTCTCAGGGCAGAGCGGGGACTTGAACCTGGGCCTCCCACCTCACGGGTTCAGAGCCCTTGCTTCCGGAAGATGCTCCCCAGTAAGATGGGCCTATCCCCCTTCTGGTGCTCCACCATATTGCTTTTTCTGCCTGACTTCGCCGCAAATGTGTAGAGCTTATTTGTTGGCTCGTTTTAATGTTCTCCCCCCTGGTATTCTTGAGGGGAGATATAAAAAAATCCCTTGTTCAGTCAGGTTTTGTGGAAGTAATAGAAGAGAAACAGAAACTGTTGAGCACGTACTCTTACATTGTAAATTGTTAAATGACATTCGAGTGGAATTTATAGACGCCCCCCTTAGGTTGGTAGCAGGCCAACCGGATAGAATCAAGGTACATTATCTCCTTGCTTCATGAGATCCGGAGATCATTGAACTGACCACCAAGTTTCTTCATGGTTTTATAAAACGGAAGAGTGACCCTGATCAGATTAATGAGTCTTATTTTATAATTTTAAAAACTCAATTTTAAGTTTAGAACTCAAATATATTTTACGATTCAGGCATTTTTGTATGGCCAAATCTATCTTGCGATAACTTGAGTTATGTTATAGGCCTGATATATCCTTGGAATGGTTTTACCACGATTATCTATTTTATAATTTCTACTGGATTGTATTAATATTGGGAATTGCTTCTAATATTGTATGCCAATAAAGGTATTTGACTTCCACCTCACAGCCTGACACTAACCCCTAGGCTAGGATCCCACCCTCCCACCAGACCTCTTCATTTCCCCCACTGTGATGGGAAGGGAAGACACTGACCCTGTACGGGCTGTTGGGGATGTTGACTCCTCCCCAGGAGACCAGGGCTGTGTGCTTCACCGGCTTCTTGGGCAGGTAGGAGCAGCTGTAGGTGCCGTTACCGTTGTCCTTCATGGAGACGTCCACGGGAGAGCCGTCTGCATCCTGAGAAGAAAGGGCGAGAGGCAAGCGTAGCAAACGGAAGGAGGAAGAAGGGGGAAACGAACTCAACCCAGAAGATATTGATAATGCTGCAAGGGTCAAGCCAACATTGGCGTCTCTTATGTAACCTGGAAAAGCTCAAAAGCAGTTCAGAAGAATTTATTTTTTGCCACTTTATATTCTACAGCACCTTCTTTACAAAAAAACAAAACAAGAAAACTCAATAGACTGATTAAGACCATGGGGCCGGTAAGTTTTCAGTCGATATATCCAAAAGGCTTCCCGTTGGTAATCAGATAGATACGCATAAGCATCTTCTACAACTGGAAGCCTTTTGGATATACAGACTGAAAACTTACCGGCCCCATGGTCTTAATCAGTCTATTGAATTTTCTTGTTTTTTGTATAGAAGGTACTGTAGAATATAAAAATGGAAAAAATAAATTCTTCCGGCCTGACAAAGTAACATTTATGTCAGATCTGGCCCTCGTGACAACTGAGCTCGACACCACTGCCCTAGAGGGCCTGCTGATGTCCTGTGTAGTCTGATATTTTCAGACCTTATGCTTTTAACCTTCGCCATTGTGTACATCATATAATAAAGATATATTTTGATAATACTATTTGAGGTCGCTGGACCCTTGCAGCATTGCATACCAGCGGACTGCCCAAGCGGATGCGTGCGCCCCCCCCCTCAGAAACGAGCACCCTCTGAAGAACACCGACTCTCTCCCGCCCATAAGGGAGGCATCTCTCACCTGCACCTGCACCTTCAGAGGTGCCTTCCCGCCATTCTTGGCATCCACGGTGAACTCTGCCGGCTTGTTGACAGCCACACCTGTCTTCTCTAGGCCCGGGCCGTGGGCTTTCACCTGGTCGGAGGTCGGAAAGAGGAGTGGGGTGAGCTACTGGCTGCCACTCCCATCTGCAGACTCAGCAGTGAGCTGGCAGGGATGCCAACCTCCAGGTGGGGCCTGGAGATTTCCCAGACTACAACTGATCTCTGGACGACAGACCTGAGCCCCCCTGGGGAAAACGGCTACTTTGGATGAAGGACTCTATGGCATTACACCCTGCTGAGGTCCCTCATCAGGATCCGCTCGCAAATACATGAAAGCATGAAGCTGCCTTACATTGAATCAGAGCCTTGGTCCAACAAAGTCAGTGTTGTCTACTCGGACTGGCAGCGGCTCTCCAGGGTTTTAGGTGGAGGTCTTTTCCCATAACCTGCTGCCTGGTCCTTCTAACTGGAGATGCCGGGGATTGAACCTGGGACCTTCTGCATGCCAAGCTGAAGGTCTGCCACTGAGCCAGGGTCTCAAGTCAAGATCTTCCTTACCACCTCCTGCCTGATCCTTTTAACTGGAGATACCAGGGATTGAACCTGGGACCTCCTGCATGCCAAGCAGAAGGTCTACCACTGAGCCAGGCTCTCAGGTCAAGGTCTTTCTCATCACCTCCTGCCTGGTCCTTCTAACTGGAGATACCAGGGATTGATCCTGGGACCTACTGCATGCCAAGCAGAGGCTCTGCCACTGAGCCAATGTCTCAGGTCAAGGTCTTTCTTATCACCTACTGTCTGGTCCTTTGAACTGGAGATGCTGGGGATTGAACCTAGGACCTCCTGCATGCCATGCAGAGGCTCTGCCACTGAGCCATGGTCTCACGTCAAGGTCTTTCCCATCACCTCCTGCCTAGTCCTTTGAATTGGAGATGCTGGAGATTGAACCTAAGACCTTCTGCATGCCAAGCAGAGGCTCTGCCACTGAGCCAGGGTCTCAGGTCAAGGTCTTTCTCATCCCCTCCTGCCTGGTCCTTTTAACTGGAGATGCCGGGGATTGAACCTGGGACCTTCCGCATGCCAAGCAGAGGCTCTGCCACTGAGTCAGGGTCTCAGGTCAAGGTCTTTCTCATCCCCTCCTGCCTGGTCCTTTTAACTGGAGATGCCGGGGATTGAACCTGGGACCTTGTGCACACCAAGCAGAGGCTCTGCCACTGAACTAGGGTCTCAGGTCAAGGACTTTCTCATCCTCTCCTGCCTGGTCCTTTTAACTGGAGATGCCGGGGATTGAACCTGGGACCTTCTGCATGCTAAGCAGAGGCTCTGCCATTGAGCCAGGGTCTCAGGTCAAGGTCTTTCTCATCACCTCCTGCCTGGTCCATTTTAATTGGAGATGCCAGGGATTGGACCTGGGACCTTGTGCATGCCAAGCAGAGGCTCTGCCACTGAGCCAGGGTCTCAGGTCAAGATCTTTCTCATCACCTCCTGCCTGGTCCTTGTAAGTGGAGATGCTGGGGATCGAACCTAGGACCTTCTGCATGCCTTGCAGAGGCTCTGCCACCGAGCCACGGCCCCTCCCCTTGTACAATGTTGCTGACGGACATGTCTTCTAGAGGCACCTCCCCTCTCACACTGCCCACACCCTTGCCCAGTGAGGTGCATGGTACCTTCTCTGGGTAGAAGTCCCTCGGAGCAGCTTTAATCTCTGCCATGAAGGGGCTGAGCTTGATGTCTTCATTGTTGCAGAGAACATGGACTGCATACTCCCCAGGCTCCTGGGGCCAATAGCGCACGTCACACGATCCATCACCCTTGTCATCGCATTCGATTTTGGCCTGCGAGGGGCCTTCCACGGAGAAGCCTGGGGGGAGAGGGGGGTTGAGGGAGGAGGAGAGAGTAAACAGGTACATGAACACCTGTGCTGGGCTAGAGCCAACCCCAGCCTTGGGACGAAGACACAGGTTGCAAAATTCAGAGCGAATTTCTTTCTACTTCTTTTTTTGCCATCAAGCCAAGTTGACTTCCGGCAACTCCTTGAGGGGCTCGAAGGCAAGGCCAGACGTTCAGACGTGGCTTGCCATTGCCTGCCTCTGTGTCGTGACCCTGGTATTCGTTGGAGGTCTCCCATCCAAACAATATTAGAGCTAATTCCCTGAAATAATCCAACATGAAATTGGAAATTGGAAGTCTGTTATGGAACGTTTTATTTTAACATGATGAATAACATATTTGAAGACAAGATGTTCAAATATTTTCCAAATTATTTCTAAAAAATACGTAGGATATCAGATTGATCTAATTTCTGTGCACTGAGGACAAGCAAGTTCTATGTTAGAAACTGAACTCTCCAATGAAAGAACAAGATGCACTTCTTACTTTAGGAGGTGCTCTTGTCACAAGAAAAGAAAAAGGTTTCAGTTTTGTTTTTGCATGTGGATGGGTATTCTGTTTGTAAAAATTGTTTGGATACACTATATTTTTAAAATGCTAGTTGTGATCATTTCATGCCAAGTAAAAATGTCCATAGTCATATTTTATGTTCCTAAAGTAACATAATTACTTTCAATCTGGAAAAGAAAAAAGAAGTGCTAATGTAGCTTTTCAATATTTCCGAAAATTTCCGTTTTTTCCCAGGAAAAAAAACACCTGGGTTTTTTTTCTGAGCTTCAAGATTTCCGGGAAATTTACATCTCTACTCTCACAGAAAGAAAGAAAAAAAAGGAAAAGTCCTGCTGGGTCAGACCAGGGAGGGTCCCTCTAGTCCAGCCTCCCATCTCACACAGGGGCCAGCCAGTTCCTCCGGAGGGCCAGCAACAGGGCAGGGAGGCCGAGGCCTTCCCCTGAGAAGGACCTCAGAAGAGCCCTGCTGGGTCAGACCAGGGAGGGTCCCTCTAGTCCAGCCTCCCATCTCACACAGGGGCCAGCCAGTTCCTCCGGAGGGCCAGCAACAGGGCAGGGAGGCCGAGGCCTTCCCCTGAGAAGGACCTCAGAAGAGCCCTGCTGGGTCAGACCAGGGAGGGTCCCTCTAGTCCAGCCTCCCATCTCACACAGGGGCCAGCCAGTTCCTCCGGAGGGCCAGCAACAGGGCAGGGAGGCCGAGGCCTTCCCCTGAGAAGGACCTCAGAAGAGCCCTGCTGGGTCAGACCAGGGAGGGTCCCTCTAGTCCAGCCTCCCATCTCACACAGGGGCCAGCCAGTTCCTCCGGAGGGCCAGCAACAGGGCAGGGAGGCCGAGGCCTTCCCCTGAGAAGGACCTCAGAAGAGCCCTGCTGGGTCAGACCAGGGAGGGTCCCTCTAGTCCAGCCTCCCATCTCACACAGGGGCCAGCCAGTTCCTCCGGAGGGCCAGCAACAGGGCAGGGAGGCCGAGGCCTTCCCCTGAGAAGGACCTCAGAAGAGCCCTGCTGGGTCAGACCAGGGAGGGTCCCTCTAGTCCAGCCTCCCATCTCACACAGGGGCCAGCCAGTTCCTCCGGAGGGCCAGCAACAGGGCAGGGAGGCCGAGGCCTTCCCCTGAGAAGGACCTCAGAAGAGCCCTGCTGGGTCAGACCAGGGAGGGTCCCTCTAGTCCAGCCTCCCATCTCACACAGGGGCCAGCCAGTTCCTCCGGAGGGCCAGCAACAGGGCAGGGAGGCCGAGGCCTTCCCCTGAGAAGGACCTCAGAAGAGCCCTGCTGGGTCAGACCAGGGAGGGTCCCTCTAGTCCAGCCTCCCATCTCACACAGGGGCCAGCCAGTTCCTCCGGAGGGCCAGCAACAGGGCAGAGAGACCAAGGTCTTTGTAAGACCTTCAGGAGAGCCCTGCTGGATCAGAACAGTGAGGGTCCATCTCGTCCAGCTTCCTGTCCCACACAGTGGCCACTCATTTCTTCCAGAGCCCCAACAACAGGGCAGAGAGACCAAGGCCTTCATAAGAACATAGGAAGAGCCCTGCTGGATCAGACCAGGGGTCCATCTTGTCCAGCCTCCTGTCCCACACAGTGGCCACTCATTTCTTCCAGAGCCCCAACAACAGGGCAGAGAGACCAAGGCCTTCATAAGAACATAGGAAGAGCACTGCTGGATCAGACCAGTGAGGGTCCATCTCGTCCAGCATCCTGTCTCACGCAGGGGCCAACCAGTTCCTCTGGAGGGCCAGCAACAGGGCAGAGAGACCAAGGTCTTCATAAGAACGTCAGAAGAGCCCTGCTGGATCAGAACAGTGAGGGTCCATCTCGTCCAGCTTCCTGTCCCACACAGTGGCCACTCATTTCTTCCAGAGCCCCAACAACAGGGCAGAGAGACCAAGGCCTTCATAAGAACATAGGAAGAGCCCTGCTGGATCAGACCAGGGGTCCATCTTGTCCAGCCTCCTGTCCCACACAGTGGCCACTCATTTCTTCCAGAGCCCCAACAACAGGGCAGAGAGACCAAGGCCTTCATAAGAACATAGGAAGAGCACTGCTGGATCAGACCAGTGAGGGTCCATCTCGTCCAGCATCCTGTCTCACGCAGGGGCCAACCAGTTCCTCTGGAGGGCCAGCAACAGGGCAGAGAGACCAAGGTCTTCATAAGAACGTCAGAAGAGCCCTGCTGGATCAGAACAGTGAGGGTCCATCTCGTCCAGCTTCCTGTCCCACACAGTGGCCACTCATTTCTTCCAGAGCCCCAACAACAGGGCAGAGAGACCAAGGCCTTCATAAGAACATAGGAAGAGCCCTGCTGGATCAGACCAGGGGTCCATCTTGTCCAGCCTCCTGTCCCACACAGTGGCCACTCATTTCTTCCAGAGCCCCAACAACAGGGCAGAGAGACCAAGGCCTTCATAAGAACATAGGAAGAGCACTGCTGGATCAGACCAGTGAGGGTCCATCTCGTCCAGCATCCTGTCTCACGCAGGGGCCAACCAGTTCCTCTGGAGGGCCAGCAACAGGGCAGAGAGACCAAGGTCTTCATAAGAACGTAAGAGCCCTGCTGGGTCAGACCAGGGAGGGTCCCCCTAGTCCAGCATCCCGTCTCACACAGTTGCCAGCCAGTCCCTCTGGAGGGCCAGCAACAGGGCAGAGAGGCTGAGGCCTTCCCCTGACGTTGCCCTCCTTGCACTGGGATTCAGCGCTTTCCTGCCTCTGAATGTGGAGTACATTTCATCATTCACGTTAGGCCTTCAGTCCAACAACAAAGCACCCACATACAAATACAAGACAGTAGTGAGGAGCATCTTCTGGCTTACCTAGCGTTCCGACGTCATCCCCGATTGCTTCCACCACAAAGTCAGCCGACTTGCCCACAACGCCTCCTTCCAATCCGGGGCCCCAGGCCCGCACCTTCTGGCTTGTACATTCTGTTCCCACTTTCACCTCAAACGGGCTGAGAGGACAGGTTAGCGAAACATTACTCACCTGCCTAGATTTACTCCAGCGTTGAAGGCAGCAAGTTAATACAGAACCCTCAGCAGCCACTCACCCACCACTTGCCAAAGAAAGCGCCGCTAACGTCTCCCAGTTCGCCAATGGCCACAAGGCATTTTAGAAGACCATCTCTACCAGAGGCCTACATACCTGAGGGACCACCTTTCCCCACACGTTCCCCAGAGAGCACTGTGTTCAGGGTCCCAAAATCCATAGGCCCTCCCAGGTCCCAAGGGCGCCAGGCTGTCTATAACCAAGGCCAGGGCCTTTTTAGTGGCGGCTCCCTACCGGTGGAACAAGCTCCCGGAAGAGATCAGGGCCCTGCGGGACCTCTTACAGTTCCGCAGGGCCTGCAAGACAGAGCTCTTCCACCAGGCCTTCAATCAGGGAGCCACATCAAATAACTGAAAAATGACAGAGTCCTGTTCCTTGGTTTACCATCTACAGCCTGTGTGCTCGCCGCATAAACAGACCGAAATGAGCTGACCATCAGTATAGAGCATCTGATTTTTGAGGCCATCTGTAAGCATTCCTATTGGTATTAGACCTGTTACTAGCACTTTACGATACTTGGATTGTCTTATGATTGTGTTTTATCATTGTTATTTATGTGTTTTAACTTCAAGATCTCAATGATTTTAATTCATTTAAGATTTTACATAGAAGCTATTTTACTCTGATGAGAATAGCTAAGTTTTTTTTAAAAAAAAATCTTGAGTGCAAAATGTTGGAAAGGTTGTGGTTTGATGGGAGATTTCATGCATTGCTTTTGGTTATGTCCCTCTATTCAAATGTTTTGGAATAAAGTATTACGTCAAATTGAGATAATAGTTGGTCAACAGATCCCCAAAAAACCAGAAAATATGCTTTTAGAAATTGGCTTAACAGTAGATGAAATCAAGCTGGCTCCGTGTAATGGGATCCCTGAAGAGATGAAAGGAGATCTCCAGGTGCGCTGCGAGGCCAGCCTGTTTACCAGGGCTTTGGAAGGAGTTTGATAGGCAGACATCTTTTAAGGGGGGGGGGAGATTCAGGGTTGGCTTGATTTATTTTTGGTTTTTAAACTGAAAAATGCTTTTACTAATCTTGTTAGCCACTTCGACCCACAAGAAAAAGCGGATATAAATTTTTTAATGAATGAAACACACAGCCAATGCCTTACCTGCGAGGGATATGCTGCCCACCCCAGGTGATGGTGACTGTGTAGTTGCCGGTTACAGTGGGATAGTACTCAAAGCTGTAGACCCCATCGCCAAGGTCCTTCTGCTTCACGCATTCTTCCAGGCCTTCTGCAAGGAGAGATTAAGAAGAGCCCTGCTGGATCAGGCCAGTGGTCCATCCGGTCCAGCATCCTGTCTCATACAATGGCCAGCCAGTTCCTCTAGAGAGCCAAAAAACCGGCATTGAGGCCAAGGCCTTCCGCTGATAAGAACATCAGAAGAGCCCTGCTGGGTCAGACCAGGGAGGGTCCCTCTAGTCCAGCCTCCCGTCTCACACAGGGGCCCGCCAGTTCCTCTGGAGGGCCAGCAACAGGGCAGAGAGGCCGAGGCCTTCCCCTGATAAGGACACCAGAAGAGCCCTGCTGGGTCAGACCAGGGAGGGTCCCTCTAGTCCAGCCTCCCGTCTCACACAGGGGCCCGCCAGTTCCTCTGGAGGGCCAGCAACAGGGCAGAGAGGCCGAGGCCTTCCCCTGATAAGGACACCAGAAGAGCCCTGCTGGGTCAGACCAGGGAGGGTCCCTCTAGTCCAGCCTCCCGTCTCACACAGGGGCCCGCCAGTTCCTCTGGAGGGCCAGCAACAGGGCAGAGAGGCCGAGGCCTTCCCCTGATAAGGACACCAGAAGAGCCCTGCTGGGTCAGACCAGGGAGGGTCCCTCTAGTCCAGCCTCCCGTCTCACACAGGGGCCCGCCAGTTCCTCTGGAGGGCCAGCAACAGGGCAGAGAGGCCGAGGCCTTCCCCTGATAAGGACACCAGAAGAGCCCTGCTGGGTCAGACCAGTGAGGGTCCATCTAGTCCAGCATCACACAGCGGCCAACCAGTTTCTCTGGAGGGCCAACAAATAGGGCACTGAGGCCAAAAGCTTTCATAAGCACACCAGAAGAGCCTTGCTGGATCAGACCAGCGGTCCACCTAATGCAGCACCCTGTCTCACACAGTGGGCCGACAAGTTACCATGGAGGGCCGACAATAGGCCACAGAGGGTGAGGACTACCCCGATGTTGCCTCCCGGCACTGCTATTCAGAGGGCTGACTGCCTCCGAACATGGAACTTCCCTTGAGTCCCCACGGCTAGTGGCCACCGATAGACTTATCCTCCATGAAGCTGTCGAATCCCCTTTTCATGCTGTTTATTCCAGCATCCCCTGGCAGCAAATTCCACATGTTAATCCCTGTCAAGGTAAAGAAGCATTTCCCTTTGTCCGTCCTGAACCTAGTGGCCACCGGCTTCATGCTGATGCCCTTGAGTTCTTGTTTATTTTGAGAAAGGGAGAAAAGACTGTGGGGGCTGAGGCGGCGCCTAGGCCCACAGAAGCAGCCAAGGCAAAACGCACCAAACACAACAATTCTCCTAAACATCAAGTATAGGGGTGAGAGTAGAAAAGTTATCGTGACCGGCCTGAAGGCCAGGAGAGCTGTCTTTGGGAGGGACAGAAAAAAGTCGTTCGGTCTACAGGACTGCACGCGGGTCTGGAGTTTTTAGCCAAACATTGCCTGCGCGTGCAATTTATCTCCAGGCCAGTTCGTCCGGGGATCCTGAAGGGGTTTTTTTTTGGTCATCTTCTGGGCATGGGGCAGGGGACACCGGAGGCTGGGGCAAGGGACACCGGGGGTGTGGGCAGGGAGGCATCGGTGAATTTCCTGCATTGTGCAGGGGGTTGGACTAGATGACCCTTGGAGGTCCCTTCCAACTCTATGATTCTATGCGCCTACAACGGCAGCCCGAACTGCCCTGACACTCAGCAGAGCTGGGATTTTTAGGACGTCGTATGCTTTTACACCGTTCTCAGGAGCAACGCACACAAACGCTCTGCCTTAAGTAACAGATGGGAAGCGTATCTAGTTGAAGCGGCTAAGCTTTGATTCCCATTCCAAGCAGTTAGTCCCCTTCCGCTTACAAAGCAAGATCTACAAAGAGGTCCGGAAAGTGGAGGCCGCTGAATGTTCCCTGCACTCCGTCTGCATTCTCTTACATACCCCTAGTGCTTTTCATTTCCTACTGCCGCTGTTCCTGGACAGGTTTGCTTTCATTTGTCAACATTTATTACGATCCACCGATCGGTCGACAACAGTTATAACAGCACAGGTTACGTACAAATGTAAAATCAATACACAGAGATTAAAATTCATTGCATTATCGGGCCGTAATTAATTATAAAGGTAAAGGTTCCCTTGCTCGAAAGCCAGTCGAATCCGACTCTAGGGTTGCGGTGCTCATCTCCGTTTCAAAGCCGAAGAGCCAGCACTGTCCGAAGACGTTTCCGTGGTCATGTGGCTGGCATGACTAAACACCAAGGCGCACGGAACGCTGTTCCCTTCCCACCGAAGCGGTCCCTATTTATCGACTTGCAATTTCTTGCTTTCGAACTGCTAGGTTGGCAGGAGCTGGAACTAGAGACGGGAGCTCACTCCGTCATGCGGCAACCCGGGTCTCGAACTGCTGAACTTACCGACCTTCCACAGCCTGCAGTTCAGCATCAACCACTTGAGCCACCGCAGCTCAATTAATTATACACAAAAGCTAATCAAAAGTTTGGGAATATCTGTTCTCTCAGAAAATAATTTAGCCACTTTAGAGGTGGTCTCATTGGAGCAGTCTGCCAGGAGGAGATAGATGTAGAATTTTTCAGATATTCCTGAGAAGCTGGATAGAACAGGGGTGAGATATGTGGAATTGATGTCCTTTTAAAATGGACAATGTACTAACATTGTTCCACTGTTTCGACCTTGTTCGCTGGCAGAAACACAGATGTTTAGGGAAGGGAGCATGTAAACATCTCCTTTTTGGCAGGGCTGAGGGGCAGGCAATTGAACTGGGCCAGGGTGAAAGTTATGTGGTATTGGAGGAATTCTACAGCGTAACTATAGCTAAAACTCTGGACCAGCAAACTATGATTCCCCAAAAGATCTGGGCCACCATTCCAGCATTTCTTAAAAAAACAAATCATGCAAAACATGGGCTTAAAATGAAGGCAATTCATGCTCTGGATCTTTCACAGAGGTCCACCAGTGGCTCTGAGCTTGCAAGGTACAGATGAAACTCTCTGTCTGGGGCAGTGATGCTCTGTATTCTTCGTGCTTTGGGGGGCCACAGTGGGAGGGTTTCTGGAGTTCTGGCCCGGCTGGTGGACCTCCTGATGGCCCCTGGATTTTGACCACTGTGCGACACAGGGTGTTTGACTGGATGGGCCATCGGCCTGATCCAACATGGCTTCTTTCATGTTCTTAAGAGCAGAGGTCCATGAGTGGCTATTAGCCACCAGATACAGAGGGAATACTCTGTCTAGGGCAGTGATGCTTTGTATTCTTGGTACTTGGGGGGGGGGGACAGTGGGAGGGCTTCTGGTGTTCTGGCCCTGCTGGTGGACCTCCTGATGGTCCCTGGGTTTTGGCCCCTGCGTGACACAGAGTGTTGGGCTGAATGGGCCATTGGCCTGATCCAACATGGCTTCTCTTACATTCTCATGTTTGGGGCACTGATGCTCTGTCTCCTTGGTGCTTTGGGGGAGGGCTTCTGGAGGTGCAGTGGGAGCTTTGGGGGAGGGCTTCTTGGTGCAGTGGGAGGGCTTCTGGAGTTCTGGCCCCACTGGTGGACCTCCTGATGGCCCCTGGGTTTTGACCACTGTGTGACACAGAGTGCTAAACTGGATGGGCCATTAACCTGATCCAACATGGCTTCTCTTATGTTCTTATGTCTGGGGCAGGAAGGCTCTGTCTTGGTGCTTGGGGGATCCACAGTGGGAGGGCTTCTGGAGTTCTGGCCCCGCTGGTAGCTTTCCTGATGGCCCCTGGGTTTTGGCCCCTGTGTGACACAGAGTGTTGGGCTGGATGGGCCACTGGCCTGATCCAACATGGCTCCTCTTATGCTCTAAATTCACATCAAAGAAGTTGGGAAAGTAGGACTGGGAAAGGGGTGGTTGATCCCCCCCCAAGACCCCTCCCTCCACGAAGCCATCAGTCCTACCAATAAGCCCAAGTATTTTGGTGTAGTGGTTAAGTGGGCGGACTCTGATCTGGGAGAACCGGGTTTGATTCCCCACTCTTCCACTCACAGCTGCTGGATGACCTTGGGAAAGCCATCGTTCTCTCAGAGCTGTCCTGGAAAGAGCAGTTCTCTCAGAGCTCTCTCAGCCCCGCCTACCTCACAGGGCGTCTGTTGTGGGGAGGGGACGGGAAAGGAGTTTGTAAGCTGCTCTGAGATTCCGAGTGAAGGGCAGGGTATAAATCCAATATTATCTTCTTCTTTAATCCTCCACAGGTATTAACAGTTAGGGGGGAGGAGGTTTAGTCCAGGGAAAATCAAAGGGAAGCGTTTGACTCCTTCGCCCCCCCCAACACTGCTTTCTGAGCCAAGTTAGCTGCCCTACATGATCCTTCAAAACAAAAGCCTCTGAAAGAACCAGACCGTGGCTAAGTTTTATCCAGAAACGCGTTTACAAAAAAATAATAATTACCATTTGCTTTCATGGTCTTGGTTTTTTTTGCAGGGATTATTTTTGCTAACTGCCCCCGGGCAGGCTCAAATCTGTGCTGTAACTCACGAGTAGAATAAGCTGACTCATGGCATGGGGGAGGGATAGAGAAATGACTCATCAGGATTCCTCAACCCGAACGGCGGCGGATTTAACCCTGGCTTCCCTACACTCGCGCCATTTTACTGCCGTACCCAAAGCAGTCTGCAAGACCCACGACTCCAGTCACGACACCAAACCTTTCCATTTAACATTCAAGCTCCTGATATGATGATCTCGAAATACAATCCTTCATCCATAAATTTAAGATCTTTAGGCAACAGGGGTCCCCAACCACTCTGAGCTGGTGAACACCTTTGGAACTCTGATATGGGGTGAGGGCGCGTAACCACAAAATGGCTGCCGCAGGAAGTACAGCCAACCAGAAAATCTTGGAGAAGAAGAAGAAGAGATTTGATTTATACCCCGCCCTTCACTACCCGAAGGAGTCTCAGAGGGGCTTACAATCTCCTTTCC